ATCACAGTGATGCTGGCATCTTGGTGATAAAGGCCATCATGATAACACAGATCACCGTGGTGATGCAGGCATCATGATTACATAGGCCATCATGATAATACAGACCATCATGGTGATGCAGACCATCATGATAATATATATAGGCCATCATGGTTGACTAAGGTACCATGGTTACATAGGGCACTGTGTTAGGTAGGGCACCATGTTAGGTCGGGCATTATGGTGATGCAGGCATCATGATTGACACAGGCATCTTGTTAACTTGCTGCTTTTCATCCCCTACATGGTGATCTTACTTTCCTTAGCACCTCTCATATTTTCAGTATGATTGCAAGACATAGCAAAGAATTCTGAAGTTGCTTCTGCATTTACTGCTGCTTAACACAGATGTTTTTATTTTCCTTACTTGAATTACACATTAATGATTCAAAGAAAAATAAAGCCTTTCTTTAAAATAGCCAGCAGCTTTGATCTGAGTAACAGATCTTTTTAGATAGATGTCAGACCAACCTCTCCTGGTTTAAAAATTCTATGACCTATTCCTAGAGGTTTGACCGTTTCTTTTGCCTTCACTTCCATGGCCAGGCCTGTGACAGGCAATCTTTGATGTTCAAGGTAACTTGCTGTGAAGTAAAAAGAAATATGTATATTGGTCTCTGCCTTTGGTTCCTGACACAGAGCTCTTACAGCCTTTGTAAATAGAGGTGCTAGGAGAATCTTGTGTTCTAATATTTGGTCTTTGACCCTGGTTTCTGAGACAGAGCTCCTAAGACCTATATAATTTCCTGGATAACAGGAGCATCTTTTGTTCTAATGAGGTGACTCTTGGTGGGCTCCAGGATAGGGATTGGTCACCAGAAAGACCAAGCCATGATTAGATGCTTAGAACCTTCAGTCCCACCCCCATCCCCTATTCCTCCACTGAGAGAAGAAGGGCTGGAAGTGGAGTTAATGATCTATCATGCCTACGTGATGAATCCCCCATAAAAATCCCAAAAGAACAGAGTTTGGAGAGCTTCTGGGTTTATGAACACACACGCATTCTTGGAGGGTGGTGCACCCCAACTCCACAGAGACAGAAGCTCCTGTGTCCAGGACCCTTTCAAACCTTGCCCTATATCTCTCTTCATCTGATTATTTGTTTATATACTTTAAAATATCCTTTGTACTAAGTTGGCAATACTAAGTAAACTGTTTTCCTGGGTTCTGTGAGACACTAGCAAATCATCAGAGTTGTGAGAACCTCTGACTTGTAGCCAAGTCGGACAGAAGTTGTGGGTAGCCTGGAGGCCTACCACTTGTGATTAGCATCTGAAATGGGGACCAGTTTTGTGAGACTGAGCCCTTAACCTCTGGGATCTGATGCTGAATCCTCAGAGATAGTGTCAGAATTGAGTTAAATTGTAGGATACCGAAGTGGTGTCAGAGAATTGCTTACTGTGGGAAAACCCACACATCTGGTGTCAGAAGGGAAGTATTGAGAGCGGTATCAGTATAGAGCAGGAGAAAACAGTTTGATTGTTTTTTTCTATGTACACTTCCCATTTCAAGCTTCCATCCAGTATAATCTTTGAAGTCCTTTAAAGGAACAAATTAAAGTTAAGTCAACTTTGCGTGGCTTCATGAATGCAGGCAGCGCAACTGAAGGAGTGATTTTATGACTAATATCCAGTTTGCCACATGCATGGTCAGTGACAACCTGCCTGTGCTTATTTCGTTGCCTGATGGCTTGCAAGCATTTTGCAACATCAATTTTAAGATGTGTCTCAATTTCAGGATGTCATGAAACTGGAGCTATATCCCTACATTCCATTTAAGTTTGGGGGTCTAGTTTTTATCCTTACTGACAACTGCTGCTTCTTGGAGCTGTCAAGGTATCTGCCTGGACAGACTGTCACTGCAACTCATCGTAAGGTAGGAGACAAGGATGACAGCCAGGGGCTGGACAGGAGGAGCATTCATAATTTCGAAGTCAGAAACCTGAGACCTGCTCACGAGCTGTGAGACCTGGGGCCAACACTTACTTAATGAAGTCCCTACTTCACATATTTAAGATGAGGAAAATAACAGCTTGTGACCTATAATGTTATTGTGAGCATTAAATAAGATACTGTGTGTAAAGTGGTTAGCACAGTTCTGACACATAGCAAGGGCTGAGATTTAATATTAGCAATTATTCTAATTACTACTAGGGTTCTGCACTGTGTTGGACCATCACCTACAGGAGATTGCAATCTAGTTGAGAAAACAAGATAAAACACACAATGTATTTTGAGAGGAAAACCATTGTGAATCAGATGTTCAAATATAAGATATGAGCAACTCTTAAGTTATTAGTTTTGCCCAGTATAGCTCTTTCTGAATCATAAAAAAGATTTTGAATATTCGTGCTACATATTTGTGTGTGGGTGTTGCAGATGAGTAGGGACGGATGGTGCTGGATCTCTTGTTAACAAGCGAGTTTTAGGTATTACTGATTTGCAGTTTCTGCTGCTTACCAGCTAAGCTCCTGTTTGGTATAATAATGACTGTTGCTCAAACAAGTAAAAAGCACACACAAAAAAAGTGACCATGATTCAGTCTGAAAGCCTTTCCTTTGTTTTTATTTAGGGGAGCTAAGACATGAAGAGGCTGTTTCATTTTGTCATAGTAGCCTTTCGCAAAGAATCTCAGTTTTAACCTTTGGAACTTGTCCTGCATTTGAGTAGTGTACATGTAGAGGGCTGTGGCTTAATGGCAAAACATCAGGGTTCATGTTCTTTTCCTACACATGGTTTGCAATGTGACCTTGAACAATTCGTGTAATCTGCTAAGCCTCGATTTTTCATCTATAAAAAGAGGATAATGATTCCTACCTCAGGATTATTGTGAAGATCAAAAGAGAAAATTTGTCTGGGACAAAATAGGAGCACAATAAAAATATTTTTTATAAGCACTGTAATGTCTGTTAAAAAGTGAGAATGATTTTTACAGAAATATGCTATACTTGGTTAAATAGCATCCCCTGAAAGTCATGCCCACCTGGAATCTTAGAATGTGACCTTATTTGGAAATAGAGTATTTGCAGATGTAGTCAAGTTAAAAGGAGGTCATACTAGATTGGGTAGGCCTAATGCAATGACTGGTGAGATGGGAAATTTGGACACAGAGAAGAGAATGCCATGTAAAGCCATACACATGCAGCAGAGAATGCCCTGTGAAAACAGAGGCAGAGATTGGAGTGATAAATCTACAAGCCAAAGGACATCAAGGATCGCCAGAAACTGCCAGACGCTGGGAGAGGAGCATGGAGCAGATTCTCCCTCATAAGCTCCAGTAGGGACCAGCCTTGCTGAGACTTTGGTGTTTTTTGTTTTGTTTTGCTTTGTTTTTTTTATTTCAGAGTATTACAGGAGTACAAATGTTTTGGTTACATGAATTGCTTTTGTGCTACTTGAGTCAAAGTTACCAGTGTGCCCATCATCAAGATAACATGCATTGTACCCATTAGGTATGAATTTACCCATCCCCTCTCACCCCTCCCACCTGCTTGTTCTCCACTGAGTTTTACTACCACATGTGCACATGAGTGTTGATCGCTTAGTTCCAGTTTAATAGTGAGTACCTGTGGCATTTGTTTTTCCATTCTTGTGATACTTTGCTTAGAAGAATGGTCTCCACTTCCATCCAGGTTGTTACAAAGGGTATTAGTTCCCCATTTTTTTATGGCTGAGTACTACTCCATGGTATACACATACCATGACTCCTGCTGATCCTTGCATTTCAAACTTCTAGCCTCTAGCATGAGAGAGATGCCCTTGACGCTCACAGGGCACCAAGTCTGATGTCATGGTGTGCGTATGTACGCCCTACCTGTAGGGAGGGACAGTGAATACCTTTAGCAATAATATAATCTACCCAGCTCTTACAGAGGATTATCCTTCCCATAGTTGCTTTGAGAGGCTTTCAAAGTGGCACAATGATGTTGCTATCATGTGGAAAAATCTTTGGATGTGATCTTCAGAACAAGTGTATGATGGCACGTAAAACCTGACTCTTGACTTTGCAATTTTTTACTCCAAATGGTATTCCCCAGGCTGATCCTCTACCTAGTGTCTAGATGTAGTAATAGATAATTTTTAATTTATTTCCCAAAATTAAATCCACCTACTCAAGTAGTAAAAATTTGCCACTGTTGAGGTGGTCAAAGGAAGGTACCATAGGCAACTCCTAACAGGGAGCTACAAGATGTTCTGAGGAATGACAGAGTCACCAAAGTCAGTGACAGCCTCCCAGTGAAAGATCCTGAAAGGGTACAAGGCTTGGCTGAAGTCATATATATAATATTGTAATTATATAACAAATATAGTTATATTTATTATCATTTATATAATTTATACTTGTAAAATATGCAATATATTAATATTAAGTTGTGCGTGTGCGCATATATATGCCTCCTGCTGTGTTTAGTTAGAGAAATCAGCATGGCTTTAGGCATCTCTGGCACGGTTCCTGAAGCAGAGAGGCGTGCCTACAGAATGACAACAGGCCGGCCTGTGTAGAAAGCTCACCGTGTGCCAGGTACGAAATGATTTGCATGGGGTGTGGCATATAACCCTTGCAACCAGGACTGGGACCGGGGTGAGGCCAGTGAGGTATCTGGGGCACAAAATTAAAGGAAATACCACTCTCAGGCTGAACAGGTGCGAGGTGGACATTTGCATGACCCTGGCAGTGAGAGCCTCCTTCAGTCTAGCTTGCTAAAGTACCTCACTCACCTTACCCTAGTCCCGGACCTGCCAGCCACAATCCTGCGAGGTCAGTGCCATCAACTTCCTTCTTTGCGGATGAGGAAAGAGAGGCTTATGGAGGCTGAGTATCTTGCTTCACTTTCACACAAGTCCTGGGGCAAGGATATGACACCAGGCTATTGGACTCCAAAGCTGAGCCTTGACTGACCGAACCAAACTCTTAGTCAATGCCCTGTCTACAGTTTCGGTTCTTTCTGTCTTTCTTTCCAGGTGTCCAAGGCAGCTGCAGACTTGATGGCCTACTGTGAAGCGCATGCCAAGGAAGATCCCCTTCTGACTCCTGTCCCGGCGTCAGAAAACCCGTTTAGGGAGAAGAAGTTTTTCTGCGCCATCCTTTAAGTCTTCAAGAGGAGCCTGAAGAGCCTCCAGGCTCCTGGGACATTGATGTAGAGTTTTTAGCAAAGTGGGCACCTTTCTGGTCCACGGTATTTGAAGAGAGCGAGGAGAACCATCCTGGAAACTCCAGGCTATGCATGTTTAAAGAACTGGTCCCCTTACGAGAATGCAAGCCGATCCACATCCTGAGCTAAGAGATCTGAATCTGCAGCACTGCCTGGAGGAGGGGAATATACAAAAATAAAATTGGTGTCACTTCTTTTCCGCTATCTCTCCCCCAAAACCTTATGTTTCTGCTTTATATTTAAAAAATAAAAATGAAAACCGACAGCTGTACTGAGCTAAGATGTGTATGACCTTCTTGGAATGAATATTGTCTTTAGAATACCCTTTGATAAGCTGAGTTGTCCAGTGTAACCACGGTTTGGTTTAATGGCATTGATGTTTAGTCTTTGTGCCTTTCTTCTTTTTTCCTTCTCCCCACCCTTCCTCTACCCTTCCCCCTTACAGTAGTGTGGAGATAAGGCTGGACTTGTCTGTAAGATTGAACTCCCAGGAAGAGCCCCCAAAATGTTTAGGGAGATGTTCCCCGTGGTGTATCCTCATGGTAATAACAACGACAAAAAATGCCGGTTGTCTCTGTTCTCTTATCACTATTCCTAACATTTGTACATGATAGCTTTGATTCTGCAAGTACAAGTAAATCATGTGTTGTGACTGGTGCTTTCATATATTTGTGACAATTTTTGAGTAATACTGCATGAAAATGTCCCTATGTTACATCCATTCAGAAGTTTTATTGTTTTGCTAAAAAGTTGGAAAAAGAAATGAGAGGGAAAAGATGCTGGGGAGGGAAAAACTCAGTATTTTGAAAATTGAGGTTACTTCAGAGCCTTAGCCACGCCTAAAATACCTCCTAGGTAAGAGTGGCATAAACGCCTCTTCAGTATATTTTCCAGAATCCACAGCATTTTTTTGGTTGATCCCGGATCCAGGGCAGCACAGCTACCACCCATCAGGAGAGTAAAGGATTCACCATGAGTTGGGAAGTGCTTTTGTCATAGAGTATAAGCAAGTTCCCTCTTTCCCTGAATCATTGAAATTCTAGATTGAAAGAACACTTTCTGTACTCTCAAGAAATCCATGGCCCTCCTTTATTCAAGTATCAGGAGAAATAAATCCATAGCTCCAGAGAAGGTGACCCAGTCTTAGAACCCTGGCTGTTCGCCCACCCAGGAGGACCCCCACTAGCCGCTCTCTGGGCAGCAGATGTGGAGTCCACAGCTGGCTCCACCGGAAGGGGTTCTGGCTCTTTTTCTCCACTGAAATGGTCTTGGATTTTCACTCATCAAAAATGTTAATAGAATCTTTTCTTTGTTTTTGTTCTCCATCTTGTTTGTTAGAGTCTCTCAGTCTTTATTTACAACTCCCTGCAGATAGAGCTCTCTCTTGCCAAGACATGATATTGAGAGTGATTTTTCATGCAGCTGGAGCCTCCATCAGTAATGTCAGGCCCCGAAAGCTTTTATCACTTTTTCTGTGTCATCCCCAAAGAGGGCCTCTCTTACATTGTGTTTGCTTTCAAATCCCAAAAGACCATTTCCCGATTAATTTTATTCTCCTCTCAGTCCTTTCCATTCTTTCTCCTATTTAAAAAACAAAAACAGAAGTACGAAAAGAGAGGGGAAAAAAAGATAAAAAGACTTAATATGCCAAGGACAGATTTTGAAACAGACGTGGTCAATGTTTTCCTCACCTCCTTTATGGGCATGCTGGGGAGAGAATAAGTACTTCCAATTAAAGCTCACGCCTGGGATGGGAGAGAAGAGGATACTGAAACATTTGTGAAATGTATGAATATACTTCTGTAACCAGATGCTTCTGTTCTTCTGTTCAAATTTTGGAATTTTGTTATAGTCAGTGAAATACTGATAAATATTTAGCGGGAAAAACCTGGCAAAGAACTTATTAAACTATAGTATTTTACAACTAGCTTAGTAATACTGTGCAATCAGCTAAAACCATATCACATTTTTAAAATGAGCCAAAATATGAATATGTCGTCACATGAAAACAAGTGTGAATAAAGCGCTCTTAGGTGGTGATTCAGGCATCATTAGAAGGCCCAGATGATGTTCATAATCCACAGCATTTCTTTTTCTCAGAAGGACTATATTTTCATGTAAATCTAGATCTTTGGAGCAATTTAGATGGAAGTAAAATTTTTAGAAAGCACCATGATATAGATCTGGTAATTAAAAGTTAAGGAAATCCCAAACTGCATGTCACCACGTTTATAAAAGGAGAGAGGAGGCAGAAAACACATAGCCCATCTAAAATTAAATCCAAGGAAAATGTTCTGGACTTTTTATAATTCCATGTCTTACAGTATGGAATTAGAATACCAAAATCTTTATATAAGTTTTGGCTTCTTGGTAATTGTACTTATTCAGGGGAAAAAGTCTTTTGATTACTTATGCCACTAAAGAGCTTAATTCTTTTAGAAATTCAACAATCATTTTCACCAGCACAATTTTATCTTAAAGGGTAACTAATAAAATACATCTTAATTATTTAAGAAGGTCCTGGTCTCTATAGAGAACATATTGGTTAGTAACAAAAACCTGCCATGGAACTAGTTAATAAGCAGTAACAATAAACTTCATATTTAGAATGCAAACTCTATAAGGAAAAAAAATCTTACATCATCCTCAATATTAACTCCAGTTTAAAAATTATTTTTTTTTCAATTTGAAACCAAGCACTATTTAATTTAAATCAGAGAATGCAAATTAGTACTTTGATCTGAATCTGAATTTGCTAATAATATTTGAAAGAGATTGCCTACCAAGGAAAAATTAAACCATAAAAACTATTTCTCCATACACTCATACTCACATAAAAACTATTTCTCCATACACTCATACATAAGGAATTTTGGGAAAATAAAGCATGCTATCTTAAGGGATTTTTATACTTTTTCTTTCTTTTTAAATATTTGTTTCTAGCTGCTCCTGGCAATGATGAATTGTTAACTTATATATTAATGTTTCACAGCCCAAGAATTGCTCACCTTTTCCCTATACAAGATCTATGGTGTGTGTATTTCGAAGAGAGGAAAAAACAGAAATGTTAAAGCAAGAAAACCTGAATGTGATGTGCACGTTTTCATCCCCCATGGACAATGTGTTTGTTTTAATAAATGGAATTTTCAGATTCATTTCATATGCAAATTCATTGTGAAGGCGGTGGACCACCTCACCATTGATTCCCTGGTTAATCTGAGAAGGATCTCATGATACAAATGGATGGGGAAATGGGAAGCCATTGATTTTCTTTAGGATTTTGTTAATAGAGATGTCCTAAGGGTCTTTAAAAGCCTTTCTCCATGGGTCTTGCATCTCAGATACAGCCCTTGGGGACAGAGAAAGATGGGGACTGGTGGGGGGGCGGTAGGATCAAGGGCTCCAGCAGGTTGGGCCATGCAGAAAGATGAGCTGTATTTACACTTTAACTTGCGATGGGTATGCCACAGGGGGATTTTTCCTTTATGAAAAAAAATGAACACAGAAAGTCCTGTTCTCCATAAGCTATTCACGATTTAAAAGGAGTATAGGAGAAGATAAATCCTTAGAACTCCAGTTTAGCTGCTCCTTGAAGATTTTAGTCAAAAAAGACTTCCAAAATGTCCCTCAAGGCCGGGCGCAGTGGCTCACGCCTATAATCCTAGCACTCTGGGAGGCCAAGGTGGGCAGCTTGTTTGAGCTCAGGAGTTCAAGACCAGCTTGAGCAAGAGCAGACCCCGTCTCTACTAAAAAAAATAGAAAGAAATTAGCTGGACAACTATATATATATATATATATGTGTGTATATATATATATATACATATATATATATAAAATATTAGCCGGGCATGGTGGCGCATGCCTGTAGTCCCAGCTACTTGAGAGGCTAAGGCAGTAGGATCACTTGAGCCCAGGAGTTTGAGGTTGCTGTGAGCTAGGCTGACGCCATGGCACTCTAGCCCGGGCAACAGAGTGAGACCCTGTCTCAAAAAAAAAAAGAAAGAAAAAAACAAAATGTCCCTCAAATTATGCTAATTGTAGTAAAAAAAAAAAAACAAAAACCAAGCACAGGATATCCCAGGGCTTGTGCCACCAACAGCAGCATCTTTCAACCACAGATGAAGGTGCCGCTTGGTACCAGTGCTCCATCGACACTACTGTTTCTCAGACTGTGGGCCATGGACCACCAGCTTTGGAATGACTTGGAGCGCCTCTTTTAAAGGCAGTTCTTGGGCCCCCCACTAACTCAGAATCTCTGGTGGTCACTACTCAGGACATGCATTCTGTTGCATGCTATCATCCGAGGACCACTACTTTAAGTACTTATGACAGCTTGCTTTGCATACTGCCAAAGGAAAGGCACAGACAAACCGTAAGTATGCCTGCTCGTATGCCCATGGCCGCAGGCAGTGGCTGCCTGGGTGTGCCATGTAACCCGTGGGTGAGAATCTAGCCAGCTCCTAGACAGGGGACTCTGTGAGGAAGGCGCGGGTGGGTTTGACTCTGCTCCTGTCAGTCGTGGCCCTGTGGGAGGACGGCCTCCAGCTCTCATTCGTTAATAAGCTGGTCACATTGTAGACGGTGCTGACAATGACAGAGGGAATTGGAGCTGGATCAGCTCCAATCCACAAATTGCAAATAATTTGCCAAGGGAAATCCCTTTCCCTTCGGTTCTGCCCCAAATCTACATTTTTTTCTATTTAGAACCAGGAGACACAGGCAGAGTTTATTTTAATGAAGGGGGCTGTGGGCTCCCAGGCCTTTCCTGGCTGAGAACTACTACTGTTTCTCCATGTCAATAATAAGAAAAGCCAGGAAGGGGGTGTTGCATCTCCAACCCGAGGTGACAGACGGTACCTGGTGACCTCGGGTCGTACTGTGCGCAAGCAAGAGCCCATTTGGCTTGAGCTAGAGACCCAGAACTGGGCCCCAGAGTTCCTGTGTTCTCTTGGAGAAGCCCTCTAACCTCTCCATGCCATAAAGTGGGACAAGAGTATCTGATTCATTTGTCTGACAAAGTGGTCGAAATCGAAAGAGAGCAGGTATTGGGCATCACGAACGAAGAACTGAGAAAGAATCATTAGACACTACTTGACAGCAACCTTCTGAAGAGAGGAAAACACTAGTCAGCTCCTTCTCACCTCCTTGCCTCCCGACTCACCTGCTTCCTAGCTCCCTGGTGCGGATCCTCGGTGCCTCATGTCTGAGTTCCCGCCACACCCGCTGTCATGGTCACTCTGACTCTCACCACCTCCCGCCCCTGGCCATCCCTCACCCCTGCATATTCATCCATCAGGACTTCTCTGGCTGTAAGTGGCCAATAACCAACGAGCCCACAGATGGGCTCAAGCCTGGCTTCAAGCCTGGCTGGATGCAGTGCTCAGATGCTGTCATCAGGTGTCACCCTCATGCCATGGCCTTGCTTTCCTCTGCGCTGGTTCAGTGCTCAGACTCTTGCCCTGCAGCGGCAGGAGTGTCAGCAGTTCCCGGCTTGCATCTCACCAGTCCAGCAATCGCGGAGGAAAGCTAAGTCCCTGGCTGTATCCCTGCAACACTTCCCAAGGCTCTTATTGCTGGATCTGGTCCCCGTGCCCACCACCCCTGGACCTGGGAATAGAGGTAGAGTTACTGTGGCCCCATGGGCAGAACAGTGGCTCTGGGGAA